CCACCTCCGCCTCCTGGGTTCAAGCGATTCTCCTGCCTCAGCCTCCCGAGTAGCTGGGATTATAGGCATGCATCACCACGCCAAGCTGATTTTTGATTTTTAGACCACGCCAAGCTGATTTTTGTATTTTTAGTGGATATGGGGTTTCATCACGTTGGCCAGGCTGGTCTTGAACTCCCGACCTCAGATGATCTGCCTGCCCCGGCCTCCCAAAGTGCTGGGATTACAGGCGTGAGCCGCTGCACCCAACTGAGTAACCATTTTGAAGAGCTCCATATGTTTTGCAAGTGGTGTTCAGCTTAGTTCAGTTGCTAGGATCAGTGTTACACTGCAATGGGTTAGTTTGGATAGATATCCAGGTGCCTGGATGCATTAAGAACAAGAGCCCAGGCACCTCATGCCTTTGGCAGGCTCTGAGTCACAGTGCTGCTTCCTCTGATGTGCCCATTCCCATAGCAGTTACTGGCAGAAATGGAGTTGCAGCTGGGCACGGTGTCTCACACCTGTAATCCCAGCACTTTGGGAGGCCGAGACGCTGCTCAGGACCACCGCTGCAAGAGAATTGTTGTTAACCGAGCAGTGATGTTCCATCAGAAAAAGGTGTGGGCGGCTTTGTGGTCCCGGGCGCGGTGCTCAAGCCTGTAATCCGAGCACTGTTGGAGCGCCGACGGGGCGATCACAGGTCATGGGAGATCGAGACCCATCCTGGGACCGTCAACCGGTGAAAAGCGCCGTTCTTCTACTAAAAAAATACAAAAAAACTAGACGGCGAGGGGTTCGGGGAGGCTGTAGTCCCGAGTACTCGGCTGGAGGGCTGAGGCAGAGAATTGGCGAAACCCGGGGGAAGGCGGAGCTTGCAGTGAGCCGAGATCCGGCCAACTGGCACTTCACAGGCCCGGCGAACAGGAGGCAGACTTCGTCTCAAAAAAAAAAAAAAAAAAAAAAGAAAAGTGGCTGGAGGGGCCAACACATGTATTCTAACGCACCAATTGCAGGACCTGGACGACGCAGGCACAAGCCGAATCTTGCTCGCAATTCCTGGCAACTCTCTTGTTATTTTTTTTTTTTTTTGAGAACGGAGGGTCTCGCTCTGGTCGCAGGCTGGGTGCAGTGCGCGATCTTGTGTCACTGGTAGCTCGCCTCCTCCGGGGTTCACGCCATCCTCCTGCTCCAGCCTCACCCAGGAAGCTGGGACTTACAGGGCCGCCACCACCACTGGTAATTTTTTTTGCGTTTTATTTTTCGGAGTGAGATTGGGGTTCACCCGTGGTTCACCAGGGATGGTCTCGATCCTCTGGACCTGTGATTCTTGCGGGTTCTCGGACGCCGGAAAGTGCTGGATTACAGTGTTGAGGGCACGCGTGCCAGCTGAACTCCAGCTCTTCTGCA